GTTCCCTACCTGTCATGTTCTGGGTGTGGAGCGCTATAAAAATATGGGAGCCAGTAAAGGAATCAGAGTTGAGGCACAGAGGCCTTCTGGCAATCACCAACCATCCTTCCTAGAGCAAACACATTCCCTGTGAGGCTCTGCACTGCTCTGCTAAGTGGAATGACATGTTGAAACACAGCTAGCAATAGAGAGAAGAGAGAGACTGGACTGACCCACAGATCAAACCATGGGCAAGTTGGCACTGGGCCTGGATGGGGGTTGTGGGAGACCTGCACAAAGAACAGGTGTGGGGCTTCCTGTATCACTGATAGGGAAGCACTATGGATAGGAGGCCAGTGTGCAAATATCCTATGGTGCTCAGGAAGTAGAGAATCCTGGGAAGATCTTGGCTCTCTGAGATATATGGTCCTCTGGAAAGATGGCCAACATTGATCCTGTGACAGGATGAGCTGAAACTGCCTGTGCCTGGGGCTGGGTGAGAACAAGACCAGAGAAGTTGGGGCTGCCTCAGCTATCTCAAACAGGTGGTGGTTATGCACGTCTGGTATGGAGAGAGAGCGTTTCTAATCCCACTACCCAGTATCTAACGAAGCAAAAGCTGGCATAGAGGCGAATGTTAGTTTCCTGTGGTTTGTGTAATAAATTTCCTTAAATTAGATGACTCAAAATGCTACCTCTAGAACAGAATCCCTCCCTTGCCTTTCTTCAACTCTGGTGGCACCCAACATCCCTGGGTTATGGGTACATTGCTTCAGTCTCTCTGCCTCTGAAGTCATATTAATGTATTCATTTCCTTCTGTGCCATATGTCTCTACTGCTTCTCTTTTAAAAGGGTACTTGTGATGATATTTGGAGTCCACTCAGATAACCCAGGAAAATCTCCCTTTCTCAAAATACTTAATCACATCTACAGAGACTCCTCCTCCCTTTGTCATAAAGGTAGCATTCACGGGTTCTCAGGATTGTGACATGAAGGTATTTTGAAGGTCATGTTCTAGCTTATCACACAGGAGAAGAGAGAAAAGGAGAAATTAAAAGCTCTCAGATTTCTAATGAATAGAGGAACCAGGGAGTGGAGAATGGGAGAAGGAAACTATTTTTAATGGTCTCATTGCAGGAGTTTGCTAGCTGAGATATGGGACTCTTGAGGCAATTAGCAAGAAGCAACCTTTTACTGTGCCAGCACAGACTCAGTGGACTCGTGTCCAAAGGCTGAGCCCTGAGAACAAAGGGGTCTCACCTTATATACCCTTGCAAGCAGGTTACAGAAGCAGAAAGCAAGGTCTAATCCATATATGGTTATATTTAATTTTATAGGCTACTTTACCCTAGCTACGTGACTTTTTCCCTTCCCCAGTGCTATGTGACCTTCCTCATGTTCAGATTTTTCAGGTTTTATCTCTCTGCTGTGCCATCCCAACCTCCCTGCTACTTTCTCAGGACTCAGGTCTAGTCTGTTTTCTTCTGATGCTCCTCCCTGCTACATTATTCCCCCCTCTGATGCTCGGACCCACTTAAGGTCAAAGAGCATCATCTTAATTTAGGGGTTTATGTTTTTATAACATTATTATATGTAAGGCCATTTGTCATCTTTTTCTCAAGCCCAATGGTCTCCCATGTTGGTCCCCCCCACAAACATAGCGTGAAGTGACATTCAGTGTCTGGGCTATGGACTCATCCAGTGAGAGGAACAAGTTTTGTATTTTTGGCATATTTTAATAATCCTAAATTTTTAAATTTACTTTTTATTTTTAAGACATAAAAACTCAACTGAAGGAGTATATTAAACTTTTTATCCTTTTCTATCTCTAAACATTTTATGACTTTTTATTTTTTCTTTCTCTCTCCCCTTTTTTCTCTCTCTTTTCTCTCTTTCTTTCTCTCTCTCTCCTCACTTCATCCATGAAGACCTCATCCATTTCTTCATTTCCCCCTCTCCACATTCACAACCCTTCTGCAACATTCCTTTTCTTTCAAGTTAGACCAGATCTTACGTATCAGTGTAAGTCCATCCTTCATGTGCTAATTTTTGTAAGAGCTCAGTTAGTGCTGAGCCTCAGTCCGCCTTCAGGATGACCATTTTGGGAGAAGATGTGCAAACTGGGGCACCAAAGCTACCCATCAAGACTGAAAGACTCTGATTCCTCCTCAGTCTGCCCAATAAATTGCTACCTGAACTTAAATAAACAACAGAGTCTGGTTTTTAAAGACCAGTTTTAGCCTCTTGGCTTTTCCCATTCTCCTGGGTGTTAGGTTTGGTTTTTTTTTTTTCACAATTACTCTGTAAACATTATTAATCACAGTTTTATCTAGTGACCCTTCCAGAGGCCATCCTACACCAAAAGCAGGCCAATCTACTTCACAAAGGACCTTTAGCTTCTTAGGAGTTAATTTAACTTCATAGTTAAATTAACATGGCTGACTTGCTGGACATGCTGCAAGACACATACACACACACACACACACACACATACACACAGGCACACAGGCACATGTACGCACATTCATACACCCTTTTAACTTGTGGTGTTGGCTCACTCTGGCCCCAGTGACTTGCCTCTGCCGAAACCCTCACTCTTTCCCCCCTCTCCTGGTCTATCTTTCAGTCTCTTCAGAGGCCGCCTCCTCCAGGAAGCCTTCTAGGAACTTCTTACCCTCCATGACTCCTGTATGCATACCATTCACCTTTCGTAGGATGCCTGCCTTGGCCCTCTCCTCACAGAGCTATGATCAGCCCTGAAACAGCTGGCAGACTCCTGCCTGGCAGGGCACAGACTGTGAGTCCTCACGTCCTGATTACTGAATATTTGTTCAAGGTGTGAGTCAACCAGTGAGTGAGTAGCTTTTCTCTGGGCCTCTGTGTTCCCATGTGCAGAAAGCTCTAGTTGGACTGTGATGTCCTTTCGGCTCAAACCTTTATGGCTTGGGGATCTCAGAGAGTTCGTGGTCACTGCTAGATTCTATTACAGTCTTGCCAATAAGGCACGGGGAACCCCACCCAAAGTATGCCAAACAGGAGACAGGAGCAGGCCTCGTGCCCCGGCCTGGCTGTGTGGACTACACTGCTCTAGCTAAATCTCTGTGCGTCTGGCTCCCTGGACCTGCGCCCTCAGGACGAGCTGCCGTGTCCATTCATCTCACACCCCCACGTCACAGTTCAAGTCCCTGTGGGTGGCAGGCTCTGTCCTTGTTTGCTTGGTGAATGTGTGAATGAAGGAATATTAAATTTAATAAGGGAATGACGGCACAAACTTCTCAACAGACCCAAGATATTCCCCAAAGCAGATTATCAGGCAAACAGACAAATGGAGACTGGCAACTCTTGGTTCTCTGCAAGAAACAAATGATAGAAAACCAAACTTCAGGGCCAGCGAAGGCTTTTCTGGAAGCTGGGTTTTCATTGACTCTTCCTTTTGCAGACTTGGGAACTTGAGTTTGTTCTGAAAGGTCAGGGTCGCCCAAGGTCAAATGGAAGATCACCATCAAGACAGGGGATGGAGTGCTGGTGGACCAGGCTGGAGGAGAGGTCCCGGAGGGACCATGCTCAATGGGGAAGGCCAAACTTGAGCCGTCTGCCCACTGTCCTCCCAGTGTTGAGCATCAGGAACTTAGCAGCTCATGAGACAACAGAGTCACTGCCCTTGTGGAGTTATCTTCTAGAAAAATAGACATGATATGCCACATGAACATAGGAAAAATGAAGCAGGGGGAAGGCTGGCCAGGACAGAAGTGGGCCCTCTCTGAGGAGGTGACTTATGAACAGGGGTCGGAATGAAATGAGCAACTGAGTCATGGAAAGACATCTAACAGCCAAGGCACAAAGAGGCTTGCTGAATTCTAGAATAGTAAGAAGGGCCATGGCAGTTGGAGTGAAGCTAAGGGGAAGGATGGTGAGGGGTGAGGTCAGGAAGATTGACAAGAGCAAAATCACATAGGGCTTTCTCTCCAGATCGTGAGGTACAGAGTGCAGGATCCCTCCCACGTGTGACGGGGCCATAGAGGTGTTGAACAGAGTGAAGGAATCTGATTTACCTTTCAAATGGACCCAATGGCTCCTAAGTGGAGTGAAGAACGTCCACTTTATGCTCTTAGTAAAACAGAGGCCAGGCTCCAGCTCAGCCGGCTGAGTCGAGTGCTGGAGGGGACGCTCCAGGTCCCTTGTGGAAGTACCATGCATCACTTCCTGGGATCCTTCTGTGCCAGGTCCCGGGTTGAGTCTATTCGGTGCACCATTCCTTTGAATTCTTCCAACCTGTCACATAGGACCCTTTAGCACCATCCCACAGAGCAGAAGCTGCTTTTCCCCTGCTCTTCCTTCCTGTACCTCTAGATCCTCCCCCAACCCCCACCCCACCCCGTACCCTCCTCACAAGCTCCCTGCAAGTCCAAGACCAGGGATCAGAGATGGGGATCAGAAGGGCTAAGTGGGTTGCCTAAGGTCACAGACCTGAGTTCTGGTGGGGCCGAGGTTCCAAGGAGGGTCTGCTGGTAGAAAGCTGTGAGCTTATCAGATGACACCTACCCTATGTGTAAGCAGGAACAGGAGGGGCGAGAGGAGGGGCAGCAGAGGAGCCCCTCAGGCCAGGGAAGGACTGCAGAGGACTCAGCTGCTTGAGACCCAAGATGCCGCCTAAACCCAGAGACAGGTGTGGAGGAGGCAGGAGCACCTTTGGTGGCCCACAGAGTCCCCGAGTGCATGATGCAGTTGTTCTTTGCTTACACTGTCCCTCATTGCTGACCCACCCCACTCCTGCCCAGGCTGGGTTCAAGACCTCACTCCACCACCCACCAGCGGCTCACCCTGGTCACCTTACGTAACATTTCCATGGCTCCTGTCCCTCGGGCTGTGGCGAGGATTACGAGAGGACACACCTGGGAAGTGTGCACACAGTGCCTGGCACAGAGCAGGTACTCCAAGAATCCCATGTATTATTGGATTGTTACTGTCATCCTTGCTCTTTTCTTCCAGGTCACTGCTTTCAGACCAAGGAACCTAAGGGATGGAGGCTCCTCAGTGGTGGCCGCTGATCACAGCATGCATGACTATAATTCATTGCCTTGTCCTGGTTGACCAAGTTGCTTGTAATCAAATTGACCCCAGTCCCCAGGACATCCCTCCCAGGCCAGTCCTGCCCTGCCACAAAATCTCTGTGAGCAACATAGACTTTGCCTTCAGCCTCTACAGACAGTTGGCTCTGGACACCCCAGGAGAGAACTTTCTCTTCTCCCCAGCAAGCATCAACTTGGCCTTGGCCAAGCTTTCCCTTGGGGCCCCAATAACCAGCAGAGCCCAGCTCCTGGAGAGCCTGGGGTTCAACCTTACCTTGGTGTCGGAGGCTGAGATTCAGGACAGCTTCCGGGACCTGCTGCTCAGGCTCCCTGTTCAGGTGCCCCAGTTCCTCCTGACCACCGGCCAGCACAGGTTCAGCGGTCTGGGGGCCACACAGGACCTGGGGGAGGCCCAGAAACACATTGCCGCCTACATAGAGAAGCAGACCTGGGGGAGGCTAGGGACTTGGGGGCAGGACCTCAGGAATGAAACCACAGTGGTTCTGGTGAATCATATGCTCCTGAAAGGTAAGAGGGTGCATATCCAACTGAGCGCCTCTGGAACCCTGGCTCCATCTGCACCCCAGCTCTGCTCCCTACAATGAACAAGAAGCCTGCTCTTCAGATAAGAAGGCCCTTGGTGTCTGTCCACTGAGTCTTGGATTTTTCCTCTTGAATACTTGTTGAGTTTGTTTTTAAAGAAGGAATTTTTGACCTCTGGTGTGCTCAAGAACTCCCTGTGGTACTGGTTTGAACTTCAGGTCTCCCACACGTGTCCTGGGAGACGCTGATTCAGTGGAAGGGCAAATCCCAGACCCAAGACCCTGTATAGGGAAGAGCTCCCACTCCCAGATCCCCTTCAAGGTTGAGTAACTTTAGAGTCATAGAGCATGTCTGGTTCCCCCTCATCCCACAGGTCTCAGGAAGGGTGGATTTAAGCATAAAGAGTCCTGAAACAGGTGTCCTTTATTTTTTCCAAAAGAGCTATGTCTCCATTATTGCTTCTGCCTGGGTTGGTGTGAACGGCCAGCACCTTTTGCCCTATAGTGTCCATTATGGGGAAGGCAGGGAACAGGTGCCATTTTCCCTGATCCTCACTAAGGAGAGGAGACTAGCCTTTATACATCTGCAGCACTTGGTAGACCTCAGTGAGCCACACCTATGATCTCATTTGACCCTTTCACCTGAGTGGAGCAGTAGGGCTTAGCTTAGCTGATAAGGCTAAGATTAATGTGCCCATTCTACAGATGAGAAAACAGATTTTTAAAGGAAGAAGCCTCATTTATCTGAGTCAGTAAGGCATCACTCAAGTATGCATCTGTAATATTTATGGTACTTATATGTAAGCATGTTCACACATACATTAAGTATGAAGTTCTTATTAACACACTAGCAGTTTGTAGACTTTTATTTAATTCTTATCAAAACCCAATAAGGCAGGCATTATTATGTCCACTGAACAGATGAGGAAACTGCAGCTCAGTGGTTAGCCATCAGACCCTCACCTCCAAATCTACACTTGTCTCCAGAGGACCTTGCACCACAATGACGTGGGTTTTTTTCCTCAAATAGCTACCACCCAGAGAGATTGAGAAGAGAAAATGTGTCAGTCAGTTTTCTGATGCCATAACAAAATACTTGAGTAAATTTACTTGTAAAGAGAAAAGGTTTCTTTTGGCTCATAGTTTTGGAGGCTTGAGCCATAATCAGTTGGCCCCATTGCTTTGGGCACATCAGGATGACAGCATGTCATGGAGCAACACTGCTTTCCTCGAGGCCAGGATGCAAAAAGAGAAGCAGAGGAAGGGGCTGGGGTCCCACAATCCCCTTCTAGGGCATGCCTCAATGGCTTGAAAATCTCTCACGAGGCCTCACCTCATTAAGGTTCCTCCAGACCACCACCCTGGGGACGAAGCCTTGAGCACATGGGCCTTTGGAGGACATTCAAGACCCAAACTCTAGCAGAGAGTAACAGTACTTATGCCAGTTCAATACTATTCTACTGTTGAAATAGGATTTAATTGTATTTAACATTTTACAAATAAGGGGACAGAGTTCAGGGAGGTCACCTAGGTCAGGAGTGCATCACTGAGCTGGCCTTAGCTCCCAGGCTGGGAACCTGGCACTCCAGCGCTCCCCGCCCCGACCCTGCAACCCCTCTTGGTTCTCCACAAGGGTGACATGGGCATTCCTTTTCTCGTTAGCCAGGTGGGCGCAGCCCTTTGACCCTAGTGCCACCCGCCTGAGGGAGTTCTTTGTGGATGAGCACAGGGCTGTGCAGGTCCCCATGGTGAAGCAGAAGGCCCATCATTGCTTCCTGCGAGACCCTGAGCTGCAGTGCTCCGTGCTGCAGATGGACCACACCGCTAACGCCACCACCTTCTTCGTCTTCCCTGACCGTGGCAAGCTGGGCCAGCTGGAAGGCGCACTGCTGCCTGAAACGCTGATCAAGTGGGATGGTCTGCTTGGGACGCAGTAGGCTCCCTCAGCACACTGGACGCCCAGTGAGCTGGGCCCGGTGCTTCCCTGGCTGTGCTGTCCCCTGCAAGTCATGATCCAGGGCACTGTCACCTCTATGCAGTCACCACCCAGGATGCTGTCACTTCCCAGTGCATTGTCACCACCCAGGACACTGTCACCTCTCAAAACATTGCCACCACCCAGGGTGATGTCACCTCTCGGTGTATTGTCACCACACTGGCAACAGTCACCTCTCACTGCACTGTCATCTTTCAGGGCTCCATTATCTCAGTTAATTTTCGCCCTTTAAGATTTTAACATCCCCAGGTCACTGTCATTCTTAGAGCATTGTCATCCTTCAGGACACCTTCACTCTCCATGACTCATCACCCCTCGGACACTGTCACCCCGAGGACATTGTTACTACCCAGAGCATATCAGCCCTGGGCCTTGTCACTTTTTCCCAAGCACTGCCACCTGCAGGTACTGTCCCTTGTCTCCCAAAAGGTACCAGTTTGAGACCTGGGAGGGAGCAGTGGACCTGCGGTCTGCACTCTGGTTTGGTCCCATTTCTGCTACAGATATGGTGGCACTCTGGGTGACTATCATCCCTCCCTGGGCCTTGGTTTTCTTGCTCTAGAAGCACAGTTATGATGACAGGGACATGTAAACCTCGAGGGGGAGCTGCTATTCTTTTTTAAAATAACAGGTGATACACAATGCACTGGTCCGTCCCGCCTTCCGGGGACAGGTGAGCCTTCACAGAGCAGGTGATCACTCAGGTATGTGTGGATAAGACACTCCTGAGAGGAGCAGCTGGGGAGGGGAATGGGGACGAGGAATTGACACATGCAAGGGCCTGGGAACAAGGTGCAGCCTGGCTAGAGCTGGTCACCCCGGGAGCTCAGGAAGTTCCAGGAAGAGCCCCAGGTGAAGAACATGGAGGGGAGGACTTGGAGGGGACTGGAGAGTGGCCAGGGCTGGAGCGCCAGGTCCTGAAGCAGCAGCAGCTGTGCAGGGTGACAGGAGCCTGTGAACATTGTTACGTGGGGATGTGCACATCTTAGAAGCTCTCTCCTGCTACCCCTGGGAGATTGGGCTGGAAGTGGGGAGTGGGCAAAGAAAGGGGTAAGGGAGAGGGGGACAGCACAGGCCTGGGCAGGCAGAAACTGCACGTAAATCTCGCAGCCCATCTGGGATCGCCACAGCAAGCCAATTTGTTTCTCCACAGAGAAGTCGACTTCTATTTCCCTAAATTTTCCATTTCTGGTACCTCCAGACTGGAGATGTTCCTCCCTCAAGTGAACGTGGGTGGAGACTTTCCCAGGCAGCTTGGATTGAATGTGTCTAAAGTAAGTTTGGGATAGGTTGGGGGAGGGGTGTCTTGGTGTCTTTCCATAAACGCTAAGAGCTGTCTAGGACCTCCTTGGGGACAGGAGCTGTGTGGGTTAACTTTGCATGTGTCTCGTTGGTTCTGCATGTTCCACTTAACTGCACACCTGCCATCACAGGACACCACCCCTGCCCCCAACAAGTCACCATTCCAGCCAGAGGATGACAAGGAAAGAGATCAAAGATGTGCAAGTTATGTCCAGTGGCAAGTGCTGAGGCTGCCTGGGAGGCCATTCCTGCTGTCAGGCCTGAGGACAGCTGTGTGAAGACAAGACTGAGAGGCCACAGGACACAGGAGGGACAGCCTGGAGGAAGAGGCTGGTGCCTCAGGGAAATGAAAGTCCCCATCTGTGTGGATCTGAGGCCCTGTAAGACCCTGTTAGCTGCTTTAATGACCTGGGACTCTGTCCTGAGGCCTAATAAGAATTTGCAGGAGTTTTTAAGCATGGAAAGTAGCTTGAGGACATTTGCACCCTAGAAAGATCTCAAAAGACCTAGAAAGGACAGAGTGGAGGGGACATAGGTCAGACTTGTCCCTAGGAACAGAGAATGGAAGGAAACACATGGAGCCCTGCAATCTAGGGGAGGAGGGGCACTGCAGGAGGAAGCAAGACAGGCCAACAGGGGAAGCTGAGGAAGGGAGAGCAGTGTCTTTTGGGCTCCACCCACACCCACACCGCCCTCCCTTCTGCATGGACACTCGACAGCACTGCTCTAGCGGGTGCCATGTCAGCCCTCCCATTTTACAGATGGAGAAACTGAGGCTTAGAAGGTGACTTAGTCGGTTTTCAGCATCTATACCTGAATACTGCAGACTGGGTAATGTATGAACAATAGGAGTTTATTCAGCACATGGTTCTGGAGGCTGGGAAGTCCAAATGGAGGGCTGCATCTGATGAGGGCTTCTTGCCATGTCACAGCATGGCAGAAGGGCAAGCGAGCCTGAGAGAGAGAAAACTGAGCCATCCTTTTCATCACTCCTGTGATAACTAACCCATTCCCGTGGTAACTATCCCCACTCGTGGTAACTAGTCCACTCCCATGGCATCCAGTCCACCCCTTTGGTAACTAGCCCACTCCCGTGATAACTAGCCCACCTCCACAGTACTGCCATTAATCCATTCACAAGGCACTGTCCTCATGGTCTAGTTATCTCTGGAAGCTCCCCCTTTTTAACACTGCTCCACTGACAATTAAATCTCAGCATGAGCCTTGGAGAAGAAATTCAAACCACAGTAGAAAGGCAGGAAGACCACCCTGGTTACTACTGCTAGGCAGCATCCAGCCAGGAGCTGAGTCAGGTCATGTGACACCAGAACCTGTGTTGTTTCTCTTGAATAGCACTGGGTGCTCCCTGTTATCTGCATGTCCCAGAAGGGCTTCGAGGTCAATCTGAGTCCTGGCTTTGTCTCATCTTTGCTGTGTGACCTGTGGCGAGCCACATCACCTCACTGAGCTTTCATTTCCTTATGGGATCATTAGGATCCACCTGAGGGGAAGCAGCTTGTCCAAGGTCACATTGCCCCAGGGCACGGGGCAGAAAACCAGAGTCCTCTTCTATCAGGTTGTATGATGGTTCACGCCCAGCACTGGTGATTCAGGTGTTGTCATGGAGAGAGGGATTGCTAGGATCCACGCAGTCTAAGTACAGCACAGAGCAGAAAGCAGAACAAAGTTGTCATCTCATGGAACCTGGGAGGGGATAAACAACAAATAAATAGATAAATATGTCAGGTGGCAATTAATCCACAAAGAAAAATACAGTGGAGTAAGAAGAGAAGTCTGTCCCAGGAGCACTGGTCTTGGAAGATCTCAATGGGAAAGTGACTTTTGCTAAGAACCTTAATGAAAGGGGAAAAAGAGGTATGCAGCTACCAAGGAAAGAGTGTTCTGGGTGGAGAGCTCAGTGCATGCAAAGGCCCTGTGGCATGAATAGGCCATGGTGTAGGAGCAGCGAGAAAGCGAGTGATGCAGTGAGGTCCTCTCATGTTATGAAAGGATAACAAACTATAGGGGGTGGGGGCAGAAAACCAGCTAGGAGATACTGCTGCAGGGATCTAGGCAAAAGCCAAGGGAACACACTGAGGAAGATGTGGCGCTGGGACTTGCACCCAGGGCAGAACAAGTCCTGGCTTGTTGCCGCTGGTCCACACTGCCCCCAGGAGGCTGGGATTGCTCTGTAGATGAGGAAGATGTGTTCTGCTCCTTTCCACTGCCCCCACTTTCTCTGCCTCTTTGGGGTTCACTGATTCCTCTACCCATGAGCTGGTGGAGGGTAACACAACCTCATTTGTGAGTGTGGGTCCTGTTGTTCTGTTGTCACCAAGAGCTGACCATGAATCCCACAGTCAGGCCCCAGCCTCATGTACTTGGCCTCCCAGTGTCCTGCTTGCTCTCCCTCACCATGGCCTACGCCATTCCTTGGTTTCCATGGAAACACATTCTTCAATGTTCTGCCATTTACAAGATTGAGTCCAGTTCCTTTACACAGCATTCTAATTACTCCATCACTTCCTTCTAATCTGCCTATCCATCCATGTCCCCTCCTGTCCTTGAGGCACTATGTCACTGACTCTCATGGCCATCCTACATGACCAGTCTCCCTTCCTTGACTCAGACTTTTCAAAAGCACCTGGAATGTCCTACCCATCTCCAAATATTCACCCATCCTTCAAGGCCCTGTGTAAATGCATGTCATCTCCTCCATGAAGCTTTCTCTGATCTTATTCCTTACCCTTGAACCCCAAGAAGAAAGCAACCTTGCCTGGTAACTCTCCATTCTTAGTTTCAAGAGTTCCATCTTCCCTGTCAGACAGTGAACCCTGGGAGAGTCATTCCAACTTGTGTTCAGGGCCCCTATTGTGCCTAGCACAGTGGATTTTATTTATAGGCAGGCAATCAGTGTATACTGAATACATTCATGAATGAATAGGTGATGGGATGAATGAAAACTAAATCATCAAAGTGAAGTGAGTGAAAGGATCCATAAATAGTGATTGGGTGAAAGAGTGGTTGTATGGACACATGAAGAAATAGGTAAAAAAAAAAAAGTGGATGGTTGGATGCTGGTGTAATATTCAAAATATATTACAATATGGCAGATGGCAGCAAGGAAAACTTAAATAGAAGGTGGATGGATAGATGGAGAGGGGAATAGTGAATAAGAAAAGTGAAGAGTTGATGGGTGGATGGAATCGTGGAGAGGGAGCTGGATGGGTATGGGGGGCATGGATGATGTGTGGATAGATGGGTAGATGTCTGGAAGTATGGATGGAGGTTGGATAAATGAGTGGGCTGATGGATGGGTATATGGATACATGAGTGGTGGATGGATACAGTTATGGATAGGCAGATGGTTAACAGGTCACATGAATGAATGATGGCTTGTTGGATGTATGCATAGATATATTAGTGGATCAATGATGGATAGACAATAGAGAGATAGGTGTATTTAAGGGTAGTGGATGTAAGTGAATTTTTCAAAGGGTAAATAGGAGGATGAATGGCTGGAAAGTGAACAAGTGGATAAGTATGCAGTTATGTAAAGGAATAGTAAGACAATAGATACAAAAATAAAGGCAGATTGGTCCCACCCATGGGGTAGATATATCATTCCAGAATATTTCTTGCAAGTGGCTCATAAGGCCATAATGTCTCTGGATGAGGAGGGCTTAGAAGCTGCTGCCACCACCAGCATTCAGCTCACTCCCAGGCCTCACCCAGACCTTGAAACCACCGCCTCTCTGGGCATGGAGTTCAGCCGGCCCTTCCTGGTGATGACCTTCCACACAGAAACGGGCAGTATGCTTTTCCTGTGGAAGGTTGTGAACCTATTGGGATAGTCCTCCCCCAGACTTGCCAGATGACACAGAGCCAACAGGACAGGAAACACTCACTGGGGGGCTGATTCATCAGCCAAGCCCAAGAAGAACTGATATGTGTCCTGGTCCTTTGGCTTGGTTCTTAGGAGAATCTACAGAGGGTGAGATGGTAAAAGGGTCCAAGGTCATTACCCACTACACACAGGCACAAACTGCCACTGACTGAACACCTGCTGTGTGCCAGTGCCTTATACATCGTGTCTCATTTAAAAATAAATTCTTATAAAAATCTGACAAGAAAAGTATTAGGTTAAACATGTGAAGTTGCTTATATTTAGTCAATGTTTTAATGTACAAAAAAAAAGGCAAGTCCTTATGGGTTCAACCTAATATTGTTTCTGCCTTTCCAGAGGTGAGGACCAGAGAAGTTGAGAGATGTGCCCAAAGTCACTCAGCCAGTGAGCAGCAGAGCAGAGATTCAGGTTTGCTTTGCCACAAAGTTCTGACTCTTGCCAGTCTCATTTGGACAGGCTAATGATTCTCAAACTTCACCATGCACCCATTCCCTGTGGGCCTTATTAAAAAGCAACTTTTGATGCAACAAATCTGGGATGGCTTGCATTTCCCACAAAGTCCCAGTGATACTGAGGTTGCAGGTCAGGTGATCATACTTTGAGTGGCAGGTACCAAATGCACTTGTCCCTGTAACCCCAAGAGGGATGAAGTTGGTGTCAGCAAGAGAGCAGAGGACTAGCACTCACTGACCCTTCATTGCATTTATGAAGCTGAGCAAACTTTTGGTGATTCCTCTTTGAAGCCTACAGAGAAAGCCTGCTTCAGGGTGACCTATTAATTGGCACATTGAGGCAAACTATGGATGTTAAGTCAGGGCCATGTCAGTCATGGCATCTGCAACTTGCCCATTAGCTGGCTGATGTTTCATGATCTCCACCTGCACAGAAAGGAGACACATAGACCCTGGGACCAGGCTTATCAGAGACAAAATCCCATACCTGGTACAAATCAGGTTCCCTGTGCACTGGGTGCCACCTTGACTAAGGCCCTTGAGAGCTATGCATAGCAGTTTGGGGAGCCCAATTTATTATTTCCAGGAGCAACAGAAGCCTGGGGTTCACCATGAGCCAGTCCCCAGGGCACAGGGAAGCTGCCTGGGAAGGTGGTCCTTGTCTGTGTGTGTCCCATTTGCACTACAGCTGAGGGTCTCCAGAGAGTAGCTTTCTTAGGGTTCTAGCCCCCAGAGGTTATGTGACAAGCTGAGCTGAAATTTTGTAGAACATTGTGTTTTAGGGAGGACTGGAGCAGAACCTGGGGCCTTCTGTCAGTCCATCCGTGTCTCAGCACATTCTACAGTTATTATTGAGAACTACAAGTGAAAAAAAGGGAGAAATGGGTCAGTGGTGAGCCAAAAAGCAGAGGCACCCAGT